TCCCTTGCGAGCGGTCCTTCGTTGCAGTCGCACACACTCACACGCCACGCCGCACCGCGCGCCCGCCCACCGCCCCGCCCAGGCGGGAAAGAGATGAGGAGATGGGACAGCAAAGGAGGAAGCACAAGCACGTATGGGAGGGTTCAGTAATGCGCCACGCTGCCCGGCGTCTCTCACTTTCCGGGACAGCCCCGCCCTTGTGAGGCAGGAAAGTGACGGCTACCCCGTACGCCCTGCAGCCTGCTACTCCGACGCCGACCGCCCATTCCCCCCTCCTCGTTCCCCCCTCGAATGCTCCGGACCCCGACAAGCCGCCCGACGTTGGGCCTCTGCCCCGCACGCTCCCGCCCCTCTGCCCCTCACACACACCCAGGCCCGACATGCACATACAAGACAAACCCGGCGTCCTGCTCTCAAAAGAAAAGAAAAAATGGGAAGGAGGAGACCAGCGGGGGAGACTCCCCGCCTATGCAACACCCCAGAGAGGGGCTGCCATCGCCGAAGCTGTGCCTAAGCATAACTCCCAAACCCGCAGCGGCCCGGGGGGCCTTGGGGGCAGCCTGCCGGACCGCTGTTGCACGGGGCCAAGCACCGGAAGATGAGTGGAATTGATGGATTGGGCCGTTGTCCGTGCCTCCCCTCTATACGTCAGAGTGGGACCTACGCCGCGCCGGGTAAGGGGCGCGCCCGGTCCTCGACGGAGCCGCGCCCGCCCCAAACGACCCAGGCGGCGAGTAGTCGTCCTCGAACCTTCGACTCGTAGTCGCCCGTGGTCAGCGCCCCTCCTCCCTTGTGCGTGGGCTGCTCTGTGAGGGGTCCAGGCGTAGTCCGACGGGTAGGGGGTCTGTGCCCGGGCGGTGTCCGGTGCGGAGTCTCTCTCTGATCCCGCCTGGGATGCTGGGTGCGAGGTGTGGCGGCTTCGATCCCAAGGGGGGGAGCTGATCCCACTCGGTAACCAACTCTCAGGGGCAGTAGGTGGGCGAGCTTCAAGCGCGCTCATCTCGATCGTCAAGGCGTCGCTACGCGCGGTCTTCCGCGGGGGGAGCTTCGTCGACGGGTGTGGGACTGCGGCACAGACAGTGCTGCGGCGATGCCTCCGGCTGCTGCGGCGAGTGGCTTGCTGCTCGCTGCGATGGCGAAGAACTCGTCTCGTCACACGCCAAGGGCTTATGCTCTGGCGAGACGTGAGGCGTATGCGCCCAGGAGGGGAGGGCGCATGCGTAACGACGCTGCTAGAGATGCCTTTCGGGGCCCAGAGATAAAACTTCTGATGCCATGCGTGACCTAGTAGTGTCCCCAGCTATGGGCGTGTCCACGTTGGAGCCAGGTGTGGTGTGGACGCGAGAATAGCTCCGCCGTTCATGGAGGCAACCGATGCGAGTCGACTGGTGTGTGTCGTCGTGGTTTCGTATCAAGAATTCTCTCTCTCTCTCTCTCTCTCACCGAGTTAGGGCCCCCCAGCGCGTTTCTTTTTTGACGACACTCATCCGCTGGAAATGCTCGCCACTTTGCTGCCGCTCTTGCTCGCGCTCAAAGTCGAGCCGATCGGCAGTAGGGCCGGTCCGGTCGCGACATCGCACTCGCGGCGCGACGCAGTCGCTGTCTCGCTCCTCGGCTCCATCGCGCTCGTGCAGCCCGTCTTTGCGGTCTCAAACCCGTGGGATAAGGGTCCTGTCGAAGGCCTGAAGGCGGAGAGCACCTGCAAGCCCAAAGGTGCCTGCGCTTGCAACTGTATGCCCGACGGCTTTGGCGCTCCTTGTATAGAGCGCGCCTTGGTAGCTCTGAGCGCTCATTAACGCGTTCCTTGTAGCTCATTTCAGGCGGCTACAAGGAGCGCGAGAGCGCTGTCAAGCCGGTCGCCGCTCAGATCGTCGAGGCCATCATCGACGACGACTCGCCAGCGCCCGCCGTGGCTGCCGCGACAAAGGTTGCGCCAGCCAAGGCTGCGCCCGCGGCCCGCGCTTCGAGCTCCGCGGCCGCGCTCAGCTTTGATGAGCTCGTCGCCAACAGCGTGAAGACGAAGGAGGAGGTCTACGGCCGCAAGCTCACGGACGCAGAAGTCGCCGATCTCAAGGCCAAGGTCACCAAGCTGATGGCAATGTGAGCGAGAGCGCTCTTACACAGCATGCAGTGAGGCGGCGGGCAGCGCGATCACGCTAGTGTCCGGCAAGTGCGCACGGTCGAGTGGACGGTGCGTTTTGGCCGTTTCTGCATTGGTCACACCGCCGGAGCGCGAGCCGACTGTGGAGCCACCGTGTAGCCGAACCGCTTGTCCCAAACGTAGTAATTGTCGGTATATAGAAACACAAACGGTCAACCCCAGCGCGCGCGTTTTTCCCGCGCATCTCTCGGCCATCGCCGATGGCCATCGCCGTTCCCGCCAGTCGTCCGGCGCCGCGAGAGCCCCCCCCCCCCCCCCCCCACACACACATACACACACACACTCACACACACGCACAGATGTCTGACCCAGCATATGTGTTGTGGCCAGTGTGAGCAGTGTGTCGAAAAAAAAGCCCCACCTTGTGATTTTTGGGTCAAAATCGTCCCGATTTCATAATGTTCGTTCGTACGTGCATCCGCGGCGCCCAGCGCGGTGCCAGCGGCTCCCATACCTCTAAGAGGCCACCCACCTCCGTATAGACCCTTATATCCGCGGTTTACGCCCAATAGAGGCAGCTGCAAGAGGGCCCGGACGGGCACTGCGGCACACACTGCTCGCTGCTCGGCCATGCGGTAGCGTCTGGTGATGCCGCCCCTGCGCGGGCGGGGGCGTCTCGCTCGGCAGCAACTGCGCCGCGCAGCGCAGGTTCGAGGGTCGCGGTGGGTGGGTGCACTGGAAGACGTAGCGGTCGAGAAAGCGCTCAGCGACCGCTACGTCTCGAGGATGGAGCCGTCGCGCGGACCCGACCGGCCGACCGGCAGTAGCAGCAGGCGCCGGAGGGCGCGGGAGGCAGCGGCGACACCTCGGGCCAGAAGCGCGAGCCCTAGGCTGGTGAGGGGGCCCGCTCATGCGTAAACGGCTCGGGACTTAGCTAAATCGCGCATCGAAATCGGGACGATTTTGCCAGGGCACCGTCACAAGGTGCTCGACAATAGCTCTCGGTCCACCCCGGTGCGCCGCGGCGTCACCCGGTCACGCGTCAGCCCCAGCGCCCCCACGCGGCTCGATGGCTCGGGCGAAATGTAACGCCAACTAAGCCGAATTCCAGCGCAGACTGCGGCGCGGTTACGGGTTAGAGTAGGAGAGCGCCCGCTCTTCACCCCCTCCGCGAGACGAAACAGCCTTGACGCGACGGGGGGAAGCTGTACTCACACACGACGCGAAACATCGGACAGAATCGCGGCATCTCGCGCTCCGCTCCCAATCTCTCACGGTATCAATCATGCTCAGGGCTCCAGCCACGCCAGTGGAGAGGCCATGGCGTACAGGAGCAAGGATACTCCACGCACACCAACCCAGCCTCAATGCGGGAGAGAGGATGCCTTCCCTCGGCGTCTCCCGCTTCTCTTTGGCATCGCCTCCCGTTCATGTCGACTCCAAAGCGAGGTGCGGGCTCCCCACCTCAAATCCAGGTTGCTGCCTCAAATCCGGCTGCCTCCTGCTGCGTCACCGCCACCGCCTCCAGCGCGGAGGCCGCCGCATCCATTGTCTTCGCCACCGCCTCCCGCTCAAGCCCAACAAGATCGTACGAGCGGCGCGACCGCTTGAGAAACGGGCCGCCGTTCGCGTCGATTGGGCCTCCACCTCCGCCTGGGCCTCCGCGCCCAGTCACAGCGAGCGCCGCAGCTGCGGGCACCACCCCTGCACTGGTCGGACGCAGGGGCGGGAGCGGGCACTCGCTGCGCCGCTTCGAGCCGCAGAGGAGCGATCCGGAGGAGCACCGGCCCGCCCGCCCTCGAAGGCGCCGTGAACCCCGCGGCTCGTGTTTAGCGGCAGCAGAGCCGCAGAGGCAGGGTGGCGAGCGCTGAGAGGCAGGGTGTGCCGTGGCGAACCGCTCCGCGGAGGCTACTGGCTGCTCAAAGGGGCAGCCGCCGGGCAGCGCCTCGGCCGGCGCGAACGCTGGCACGCCCGGCGAAGCCATGGCTGCGTGCGTCCGCGAAGACTCGATAATCTCGCGCTTCCAAACATTGACGCCCCGGAAAGCTTCCGACGCGAGATTGCTGAATGCCAATGATCATTATTTCTTTCTGAATTGTGCTCTGTCTCGTTCTCCCATCCCTCCCTTGGGTTGTGTGTTTTCTTTCTTTCTTTCTGTCTCGGTGTCCAGTCCGAGCCTGACTGTTCTTCACCTTCCTACATACATACATACATCTGTCTCTCTTGTTGTGTGTGTATGTGGGAAGGGGCGTGAAGCAGACGTGACGATGCAGTCAAACTTCTTTTTTTACGTAAGCTTCGATGTTATGAAACCACTCCCTTTGCTGCCACTCATAAAATCGTTGGGTCGCTTCAGTTCACGAAGTCCCCCCATGGGCCGACCCTGTTTGTGTTCCGATTTTATGAGAAGAGAACAAAGGGAGTGTTATGAAACAAACCTTATTTTACACATACATGACGCATCGCTCCCGGGCCCACGGACAGACGAGAACCTCGCACTGTATGTATGTATGTAGAAAGATGAACAACAGTCAGGCTCGGACTGGACACCAACGCGGTATGGGTGGACCCGGGACAGATGATGACGACACGCACGAGCAACACACAGACACAAACAAGCTCACAAGACACACAGCCAGCTGGCTGCCACACACCTTGAGTTGGCCCCACCGAGTGGGCGAATTCTTTTTGCGCGGTGCGCTGCGCGCAGCGCATGGGTCGGCCACCCTGGTATCGCGAGCACGAACTGGCGCCTCCAGGGAGGGATCCACCCCGCGTGTAGCCCGTCACGCACAGCATGCTTCTAACTGCAGCCGTGAGCTCGTGGCAGCCACACACGGAGCGCAAGCGCTGCTCCGGTGTGCATAGCGGCTCGAGCAGCGAGCACTGCGGCCGATACATGCGTGGCCACAGACGGCCAGCGCAGCCGCCGACGGCCAACTGGCAGCCGCTCGTCGACAGCTACCTGTCGAGCTATGCGGGCGGCGTCTCGCGTAGCGACGTCGACTACGCGGAGGCGTGGGCGGCCAACGCGTCGCAGTTCACGGCGGCGGGCTCGTGGCGTGCGAGGGTCGTCAACGGTAGCCTGTGGGTGCGGCCGATCCACTTTTACGAGCACTGGAAGGAGCGAGCGAGCGTGCTGCGCATCCTCCTCCTCGCGGCCCAGCAGGCGAGGGCTTGGCGAGCCCTAACCCTAACCCCAACCCTGACCTTGACCCACCCTAACCCTGACCCTGACCCTGACCCTAACCCTGCCCCTGCCCCTGACCCTGACAGGCGAGCGCCCTCGGCGAGCCTCTCCCAGACTCCGAGCTCGTCTTTGCGGCGGCCGACTCTGACCCGACCGTCCTGCACTCGCGCCGCCGCTGCCACGCGCCCAACACGAGCGCCACGCTGCATGGCCGACGGCGCACCCGCCCGGCGGCCAACTGCCCGCGGCTGCCAGTCTTTGTGCACGCTCGGGCGAGCGCCCTCGGCTCGACGGCCTAGAAGCGGAAGATCTCCCCATATCTCCCCCCGTATCTCCCCGCACCTGGCAGCACGGAGTCTAGAAGCGGAAGACGAGTTCTCGTCTCCTAACCATCGCTCGAGAGGACACGCACTCAACCGCATTCGGCCGCAGTCGGCCGTATTCACTGCCTTCTTCGCCTCCCTCGCCTCCACGCGGTGAAACGGAAGACTCGGCGCAATGCCGCCTTCCCGATGCTGGTGCACGAGTCCCTTGAAGTGCTCCGCCCTTATGCGGGTCTCTTCACCCCCCGCAGGCTCGACGGCGCTGCCGCTGCCCGAGTACTCGTGGGTGGGGCGGAAGGCCCTAGAGGCGGAAACACGCACTCTTGTCTCCCAGCCAGCGCTCGAGAGGCCGCGTGTTGAGCTGCTCGACCGCATTCATCTGTGTTCGCTGTAATCGCACCCCTCTCATACTCTGCACAAGACCGTCCTCCCGCCCTGACCTCGGTGTGTTCAGCACTTCCTAGACACTTCCTAGACACTTCCTAGACGCTTCCTAGACACTTCCTAGACACTTCCTAGACGCTTCCTAGACGCTTCCTAGACACTTCCTAGACACTTCCTAGACACTTCCTAGACGCTTCCTAGACACTTCCTAGACGCTTCCTAGACACTTCCTAGACACTTCCTAGACGCTTCCTAGACGCTTCCTAGACGCTTCCTAGACACTTCCTAGACACTTTCTAGACGCTTCCTAGACGCTTCCTAGACGCTTCCTAGACACTTCCTAGACAGCCGCCTCCCCGCCCTGACCTCGGCGCGTTCAACACGCAGGTCGTACCACTCGCCGCCGTGGTGCCAGATGCAGCCGCGCTTCGAGCGCGCCGCCGCCGCATGGGGGTGGGAGCAGAGGGACGCGCGCGCGTACTTTGGCGGCGCCTGCTCGACGGGCATCAGCCGCCAGTCGCTGCTGCCCCTCAACCGCACGCACGGGGAGTTGTTGCACGTCCTCGACGTCGGCTTCGGCAGGAGCGGCGCTCGTGGCCGCGCTCACGTCTTTCCCCTAGCGCCGGGCGCCCACTCACGGATCGAACTGCTCTTCTACACCTCACTACCTGGCGGCAGTCAGAGCCCGCACGACGCCGAGCCTCCCCTTCCGAGCCTTCCCGGAACTGTCCCTTCAGGAGCGGCTTTGTCAACCCGCATGACGTGGAGCGCGCCAAGCGGAGCTACGCGCGGCTCGGCGTCGGCTGGGGCAACGCCAGCGCCCAGCGTTCACACGTGCCGGCTGCTGATTGGTGGCTCGCACGCCGTAGGCTGGGGCAACTTCAGCGCCCAGCTGCCGCCCGACTATGCGTGCCGCTTCCAGGTCTTGCTGTCGGGGCTCGGCAGCCACGAGAGAAGGAGCAAGGCAAACGCGGGTTGTCGGTCCGCGGTTAGGTATTGCTGTCGGTGCCGGGGTTTGGCTACTCGAACCGGCTGCGCCAGCTGCTGGCGTGCGGCTCCGCCGTTGTGCACGTCCAGCACCCTAGAGTCTGAAGCCGTACTCTTGCATTCCAAGTCATTCGACCGTCTCCCGCTGTGTTCAGCTGTGTTCATTGCTTCGCTCGTACTCACGCGGGGCTCTGAAGACACAAGACCGTCTTCCCGCCCCGAGGCTGGCGTATTCCGCACGTAGGTCACGCACTAGTCGCACGAGCTAAGCTTCTTCGTCATCGTCGTATTCTTGTTTTCATTCTTTTTATTATACTAGGTCCAACACCAGTCCCACGAGTTCTTCGAGCCGCTGCTGAAGTCCGGCGAGCACTCTGGCAGGTAATGACCGCTTGCTGTGTGAACGGCGCCTCTTCACACCCGCTGCTGTGAACAGGCGGGACCCACTTCTGCAAACAAGCGGTGCGGCGTGCAGCGCAGAGCGTCTCTTCACAGCTCCTGGCTGTGAACAGGCGTGCACTACCTCACCTTGCCGGGAGGGTTCGGCACCGGCGGCGGAGAGACGGCCGTGCGCAGCGTGCGGCAGCAGCTGGCGCCCCCCCCCACCCACCCCCTCCCCAGCACCACCACCCCACATTCCCTTTTCCCCCTCCCCCTCCCTTTCTTCTATCCTCTCTTCGACCATTCACACTTCCGAGGTGTGAATAGGTGCCGCTGCTCCGCGCGCTGCGTTCCGACGGCACGCAGCGGCGCCGCTTGGGGCGGGCGGCGGCCGCGTTCGCACGCGCGCACCTGCCGTCTCGACGGTGCTCAATTCACTAGTGAGTGACGAGGATTCCGCGGGTTCGTTAGGCTCGCGTCTGACCCATGCGGCGGCGGTGAGCTACGCGCGCGCGCTACTCACAGCCTACGGCACGCTCTACCGCAGCGAGGTGGCGTGAGATCGCCCGAGGTCACGCGAGATGCGACCCGAGATGACACGAGATTGTCCCGAGCCTACCCGGGGTTCAGGTGGTGGCGCCGTCGCCCGCCGACAGCGAGGGCGGCGGCTTCTTCCGGATTGACTCAGCGCGGGACTTGCTCCGCGCGGCGCGGATGTGCGATTGTGCCCCCGACAATGCAAGGCACACCCCCCACGCCGCAAGACCCCGGCACGAGGCGCGCTGCTTGCTCGCTTTGGGCTCCTTTCCCCTCCCCCCCCCCCCCCCCCCACCTCTCCGCCCCTCTCCTGCGCGTGCCTCTCCGCTCACCTCGGCTCACCTCGGCTCACCTCTGCCCCTCTCCGCCCCTCTCCGCCCCCCTCCGCCGCCCTCCGCCCCTCTCCGCCCACCTCTCATCCCCCGGCACGAGGCGCGCTGCACGCTCGGCGGAGGGACCGCTTGCCACCCCTTCCCTCGTGGCTCGTCCGGATGCTGGGCTGCGCGCTGCTGTGCCGGGCGCGATCGCCCTGGAAATGGGGTCGAGATCGCTCCCGAGATCGCCCGAGATTGCCCGAGGTGACCCGAGGTGACCCGAGAGTAGGTGGGACTGCCCAACCAAGGCGCTCGGTTGCCCCAAGGTTGCGGCCGGTAACGCGTCGCGCATGTAGCGCGGCCGCGACTCGAGGGTTTGCCACGGGGTGGCGTGTGATGTACGACAGGTGGTCTCGACCAAGTGTGGTTCGTGGGTGTGTGCGTCGTTGACCAGCTGTGTGAGCTGCGTCTCGCGAGCCTGGCTTGTGTGAATTGGTGTGCGTGTCGTCGTCAGCGCGCGCGTGTGTGTGGCGTGTCGCTTGCTGTCCTATCCGTATAGGATGCCCTGGCCATATATGACCCAAACCTCTTCGCCGGCCCCACCAGCTCGACCGACTCGACCGCCAACCGGCTGGGTTTGGCCGGCGGCGCGACGCGTGGCCTGTGCTGCGGCCATCTCGGACGTTCAAGCGGCGGTGCCAGCCAGCGGCTCGGCCGCGCTGCGCGCATCCTTCACACACGCCGCCACGACCGATATGAGCGGGCCCAGTGTCGAGCCGTGATGCAAGCTGCTTGTGAGGGGCGGCTGTGGCCACAGCAGCAGGTCCAACAGACAGACGTCAAAGCTTGCCGTCGGTGTGCTGTCGTGGGGTGGTGCACGACACGCATTGGGAGGAGCCGAGTCAATGCAGTGGCAAGCCAGAGGCTACCTGGGTCACCAAGTGGTGCTCCTTGCCTGTTCTGAGCAGGGCTTTGCTCTGATGGGGCTGTGCTTGACATGTGTGAAGTGGGAGTGCGTGCCGGCGGTGTGTGAGAGTGAGAAAGACGTGTGTATGAGCGTATGAGGCCATAAGAGCCGTGGTATGAGCCAGAGTGAGCTTCATGACCCAAGATAAGATAGCGCGGTTTGGGACACATGGGTACTTCGGACACGCAAATATTTTTACCCCTCGAGCGCCCCGATCGCCTCCGTCACCGCCGCCACGAGCCGCGACGCCTCCCCCTCGCTGCGCGGCCCGTCCCTCCGCCACCTCGCCGCGTCGTGGTGCCTCGCCGCGTTCGCCCAGATGCGCAGCGAGTGCAGCTGGCTCCGCAGCTCGGTCGGCAAGCCGCACTCGCGGTGCCAAAAGTTGATGCGCTCCTCGAAGCCGTCGGGCGCCGCCGCAGAGCGCGAGGCGTAGACGGCGTCGAGGCGCGGCATCAGCGTGTTGAAGGCGAGCAGCATGTTGCCCTGGATGCGCGCCTGCGCGTCGCCGCCCGTGCGCATGCCGCGCACCTGCACCGAGAGCGGCGAAGGCTCGTAGCCGGTGGTGCGGGCGGCTAACGCAGCGGCCTCGTCTCCAGGTGCCGGCGCAGCCTCCTCCACCCCCGCCCCGCCCTGCGCGCCAGAGAGCAGCGCCCGCAGCGTCGTGAGCGCCTCGGGCAGTGTGGGCCGCTTGCGCAGGCTGTCGTGGCAGAGGCTCCTGTGCCCGTCTCCCGCCTTCGCGAGGTCCTTTACTGCGCGCGCCGCGTCGACTGGCCAGCCCGCAGCCACGTCCGAGAGCTTCGCCGCGTCGATGTCGGTCCAGTCCTCCTCGAACTCGTCCTCGCACCGGTCGGTGAGCTGCACCTCGGACCGGTTGGTGAGGCAGACGAGGAGGGTGATCCCGATGGCGTAGCCGTCCGTCTTTGGTGAGTACTCGCCCCCCTTGGAGATGGAGGGGCAGAGGTAGCCAGTGGACATGTAAAGGGCGGTCGAGCGGCAGCGGACAGACGCGTCGGGACGCTGGTCCTTGGCGAAGCCCGTGTCGGCGAGGACGGCGGTCAGCTTCTCGTCGAGCAGGATGTTGTCCGGCTTGACGTCGCGGTGCACGATGCCCTTCGAGTGGAGGTAGACGAGCGCCTCGGTCGCCTCGCAAGCAATGCGAACGCGCTGCCGCCACGTCAGCGGCCTCGGCGGCTCTTCCATGCCCAGCCGCCGGAGCTGCGCCGCGCGGTCGGGATCCGAGATACGCAGCCGCGCCTCGAGCGAGCCGCCGCGCATCAGTGGCGAGAGGAGGCAGACGCCGTCGGGCGAGAGGCAGTAGCCGAGCAGCGGCAGCAGGTGCGGGTGACTCACCGCCTTGAGAAGCTTCACCTCGAGCTCCGCCCGTGACAAGCCGCCCGACTGCCCCGACTTTGCCCGCTTCACGACGAGCGGCAAGTGGCGCAGCTGCGGCGGCGCGGCGAGGGAGAGGTGGAGGTCGGCCGACGCCTCGTAGACGTGGCTGAAGCCGCCGCTGCCAATCAGCTTGCCCTCTGCAAACCCGTCGGTAGCCGCGGTGAGGTCCGACAGGGCTATCTCGACGGGCCGAGCAACAGCCGCCTCTTCCGCCGCGGCCGGCTCGGCGACAGACAGAGTTTCCAGCTTCGACTCTGCCGCGCTCACCTCCTCGGCCAAAGCAGGCAGCACGCCCACGTGCGCCTTGGCGGCAGCGATGCCTGCTCGGAGCGCGGAGGGGCTGTCCGCTGTGTCGAGCGACTTGAGCGCGCCCATCGCCGCGCCATGCGCCTTGCGCAGCCGCTGGCTGTCCCGCCTCCGCGCCTCCTTGAGCTTGTCGCGCGCACGCTTCGCCGCCGCCAGCACGGCCGGGCTCGCGACGCCGCTGCACGCCTCCAGCGCGCTGGCTACGCCCTCGTACGAGCCAGCGGCCACGGCCTGCTGCAGCGCCTCGTCCGCCGCAGCGATGGCGGCTGCGTCGGCGGGCGGAGGAGATGGGGCTGGCGGTGGGGTTGGCGGCAAATCGGCGGTGGCGCTGGGGCCAGGCGCCGCGTTGTCTGCCTCGCCGCCGCCGCTCTTCTTCTTCTTCTTCTTCTTGCCCTTCTTGCTCTCATTGGCGCGCTCCTCTTTCTCCGCCTCCTCCTCCGCCAGCAGCGCCTCGGCATGCCGCGCCGCCTCCGCCTCTGCCACCGCTCTCTCCGCCTCCCTCGCCTCCGACCCCGCAACCCACGCCGCCTTCTTCGCCACCTTCTCAGCCGCCGCCTCCGCCTCAGCCAAGACCTTTACGCACTCGGCGTGGCCCTTCTCCTTGGCCATCTGCAGCGCCGTCTTGCCGTCCCGAGCGCGCACTGCAGCGTCTGCGCCCGCCCGCAGCAAGCGCCGCATGACGGCGGGGTGGTCGAAGATGGCGGCGGTCATCAGCGCGGTGGCACCGACGCTGTTCTGCAGGATGACCTCAGCGCCGCGCCGTATCAGCAGGTCGACCACCCGCTCGTGGCCGTTGCTGACGGCGGCTATCAGCGCAGTGACGCCGTTGCTGTTCTGCAGGTTGACCTCAGCGCCGTGCCGCAGCAGCAACTCGACCATCCGCTTGTGGCCGCAGTTGGCGGCGAGCATCAGCGCGGTGAAGCCGTCGCTGTTCAGCAGGTCGACCTCCGCGCCGCGCCGCAGCAGTAGCTCGACCACCCGCTCGCGGCCGTTGCTGGCGGCGTGCATCAGCGCGGTCCAGCCGACGCTGTCCTGCAGCTTGATCTCCGCGCCGTGCCGCAGCAGCAGCTCGACCACCCGCTCTTGACCGTTGTTGGCGGCGCGCATCAGCAGCGTGACGCCGCTCACGCCGCCTTGCTCGTACGCCGCGTCGGCCCGCCCGCCACTGTCAAGCCACGCCAGCACCTCCGCCTCGTCGCCTCGCCCAGCCGCTGCCCAGACCGCATCGGAGACTGCCACGCCACCGCTCGGCGCCCGCTTCGCCGCAGCCGGCGACAGATTACCCGGCCGCACCCGCACGCTCTCGCCGCCGCCCTCGAGCGCCACAGCGTACCGCCCGCCCTCGAAGCTCTCCGCCACGCCCCGCTGCCCGTTCAGCTCGGGGCGGGAAGAGAGGCCGCCGAGCACGACTCGCTTGCCGAGCAGCGGTGTGTCCATAGCTGCCGCTGCGGCGCCCGAGGAAGCGCCTTCCGCCGCTGCCCGGCCGTCTGCAGCCGCCTCCGCCTCAGCCAAGATCTCGACGCACTCGGCGTGGCCCTTCTCCTTGGCCCACTGTAGCGCCGTCTTGCCGTTCTCAGCGCGCGCCGCCGCGTCTGCGCCCGCCCGAAGCAAGCGGAGCACGACGGCGGGTTGGTTGAAGAAGGCGGCGTGCATCAGCGCGGTGCCGCCTTTGCTGTCCTTCAGGTTGATCTCCGCGCCGTGCCGGATCAGCAAGTCGACCACCCGCTCGTTGCCGTTGCCGGCGGCGAACATCAGCGCGGTGATGCCGTCGCTGTCTTGCAGGTCGACCTTAGCGCTGTGCCGTATCAGCAGCTCGACCACCCGCTCGTGGCCGTCGATGGCGGCGTGCATCAGCGCGGTGTAGCCGTTGCTGTTCAGCAGGTCGACCTCCGCGCCGTGCTGCAGCAGCAGCTCGACCACCCGCTCGCGGCTTTGGCTGGCGGCGATCATCAGCGCGGTGCCGCTGATGCTGTTCTGCAGGTTGACCGATGCGCCGTGCCGCAGCAGCAGCTCGACCACCCGCTCTTGGCCGTTGTTGGTGGCGCCCATCAGCAGCGTGAGGCCGCTCACCTCGCCTCTCTCGTACGTCGCGTCGGGCCGCCCGCCGCCCTCGAGCCACGTCAGCACCGCCTTCTCCTCGCCTCGCTCAGCTGCTGCCACGACCGAATCGGGGGCTGCCGCGGCACTGCTCGACACCGCCGGCGACAGATTGCCCGGCCGCACCCGCACGCTCTCGCCGCCGCCCTCGAGCGCCACAGCGTACCGCCCGCCCTCGAAGCTCTCCGCCACGCCCCGCTGCCCGATAAGCTCGGGACGGGAAGAGAGCCCGCCGAGCACGACGCGCTGGCCGAGCAGCGGCGCGTCCACAGCTGCCGCTGCCGCGCCCGAGGAAGCGCCGCCCGCCCCTGCCCGGCCGTCGCTGCTTGGCTCGCTCGCCCGACCATTCGAGACCATGCCGCACATCACAAAAAGAATTTAAACCTGCTCTCTCACAGCACACAGGCGCGAAGGTCGCAGCGAGAATCGGAGAGAGACTGCGAAGAGAGATAGGAAGAGGCGGACGCCCAAGGGTGGGCGACGGCTAGTGCACCACACCCCTCTCCTTAAAATCCCTGTGTGGTGGCGGCGTGCCGTCCTCCCATCCCTCCCTTGGGTTGTCCGTTTTCTTTCTTTCTTTTTACAGGCGCGCAC